AAAATTGCTCATGCCAATGCCACGGCCATCATACTCGCCTGGATAATGCCAGCCCCGCGAGGTAGTAGACTTAGAAGTAGAGGAATGGAAGGGATTGTTCAACGTCACTATCGGTACGTCAACTACTCAACAGTCGCTCAGTACGCTCTTATGTTTATTCGAATAGTCATCCGCTAGCGTTACCCACCATCCGGGTTCTCAGAGGGGCTGCAATCATCTTTACACGGCTCATGTGCATTGCCCGACCTGGCCCTCGTGTTTGTTAATCGCACGACCCGGGATTCTCACTCGAACAAGCCTATTGGATGACCTCAGTGCCAGAAATTTCTACAGCATCCTTCCGCTCAGCCCTCTCCGGTCCTTCGACGTTTCATATTTAACTTGAACGTCTCAGATGCGCAGGGAGCCTATGAAATCATGCAGATCCTCCATGGGCGACGCACCTCCTTTCTCACGTCCTACGAGCTCCCTATCCTGCACGACCTGTTACCCCTCGCCGCCAATTCGGTTCGCGTTTCGTTTGTGCGGCTGGCGCCAGCCTCGAGTGTGGTCAGAGACGTTGGCAGATCATCCCCATAGTGCTTGCCACTCGTTTACGAAGCTTCTGTACGATCTGGCAACTTTACGAACGCAATGTTGTCTGCTACCTCAGTGCATGAACCCATGATCTCCCATCCCTCTCTTCGGTATTCAAACATGTCGACCCAATCCTCTGTCTTTTCCTGCACCAGCTCCTGGCAGTTGGATACATCTGATCACCTCACACGATGTTGGTTCGGCTCATAGTCAGGCAATCCGTCGTATCGATAACACCGCTATCTCACAGCAACTAACCACGAGTTGTCGAATCAACTTAACCACTCCCCTCGAACGCTTCCACTTCACTCAGTCACCTCCTAGATTCCCTCAGTTCTATCCTTCTGTACGGGGTCGTGGTGGCGGGTCGGATCAGAGGGAGCCCTGTTCCTCTCGCCTTATCATACGCTATAGACCCCAGGCCTCGTTCGGACATCACGGAAAAGGAGAATGAACTGTATGCACAATGTTAGCACCCCTCTTTATCGCCATCTATTGCGGTTTGGTGTCGGTGTGTGGAGGAGAGGGTTTTGGGTCGGGTTCGGGAATCTCGGAGGAGTCATTTTGCGTCATGGCTGGGGTGGAAAATGCGATCGTTACTATGCCTGTGGTCGACACATCGAACACAATGGGTACAGACCTTTTATCTACCCACCCACTCGTCATCGCCCTTGCGTCCTATGTGCATAGCAAGAGGATTATGTACCCACCTTCGAGATCACACGGTATGTTAGGTCGTTTGGTCCGAGCAAGATAACGCTAACCCTCCTGGCCCCGCCATGTTCGACGTTGCTTTGGATAGGCGGAAAAGAATTTGAGGTGGTGGGGGGCCACTGTTACGATTCCTTTACCTACTCTCACCCAATGCTGGCGGGCCTCGTATGGGCACGTTGAGTTCATCTGGCCTTGCCTAGATCCTGGTTACGGAAGTGCTTTCGGTCAGACTTCTTTCCGTCCTCTTATCTAGCTCTGGTTGGATTATTGGAAGGAAATCTCCTATCAGGCTGTTCCCATCTTTCGTTCTTCGGTCTTATGATACACACGTTTCGTACCGAACAAATAACCGTAGAGAATTGGGTTGATGAATGCCACACGCAGTCGAATACCAGGTCGGATTTACATCCACTTCGAGGACATTCATCACACGAACTTGAGTATGCCAATAGTTTGCTCACCTCCACGGCTTCTGAATTCGTCGTGCCCAAAAATGAGGTCGCCGGGGTCTCGCGCGTACCTTCACCTCTGAATTTTGAGAGACGGGGTTCAGTCGAGAACCCTATTCAGTTGAACGGGCCTTTCTAGTATCGGTCGCTAAAAGTCTAAAAAGGTCTGTGCTTACCTGGTATGTGCCGGATTGATAAAATGGCTGTGGCCTGGACCATTGACATATACCGACAGAAGGGCCCATCCTGAACCTGGAGTGGTGGGCAGGAGAATGTAACGCTCAGTCGAGCAGACTGGAGAGATAAGTTAGAAATTTGGGCCGTGGTGTCTGATCAGGATGAAGAGTGAAGACATGCACATTGAATTCCGAGGACAGAGATCCATTTACATACAAAACAGGACTAGGATAATCCACGATACACACAAATTTCGGGAAAGCATACACAACCACGAGAGTATGACAGTGGCGTTGCCTCCCATTCACGCCCACGCTAAATTAGTAAAGTTGGCGTTGCTTTCCCCGTGTCTATAAAATAGAAAGAACACAGTTTTAGCATAACAGGGGGAAAAGATAGAAGCAGGGCTTCGGGACTCTGAAGGCGAACCTCAGATGCTCAAGATACGTCACGTACACCATTCAAACTTGACGTTCTCTATTTGCGATCCCAGTATGGGAACGCAGCGTCGGCGTCCGATTCCTCGGTAGACTTGAGTATTGTGCATCAGCTTGAGTACCAATAGGATGGATATTCGAAAAAATACAACTCACAGGGGTTCTTTTTTTGCGATCCCAGTAAGGGAATGCCTGGTCAACATTAGATTCCTCGGCGGACTGTAACATCGACGAATATTGGAAGACCGACGGCGAGAGGTCGAGCATACAAATAATGGAACGGATCTCCGCGTCAGCTTCGTGATATTACCACAGAAGTAGCTCACTTACGAGTGTCCTCTTACGGTCCCAGTAGGGGAACGCTTGATCAGCACTGGACTGCTCCGTAGACTGAAACAGAGGTTGTTGGAGAATCAGTACGACGCGAGGTTAACAACACAATGCCAAAAAAAGATAGACAGCCGCCAGAGGGTAGCGCAGATATCAAGTCGCGGGAGAGAGGATTGAGGACTCACTCGCTTCAAAGACGCCGAGTCAACCTACAGGGACCAAGAAATTGGGATTAGACCTTGATGGGAAAAAAAGAGACTCGGTATTCTTACATTGACAGGTTGAGGGAGCGCGCCAGCCAGGGAGACAAAAGAGACGCAAAGAGCGATGATAAAGGTGCGCATTGTCAGGACAATAAACAAGTAGGAGAGTTTGAGGATGAGACTACTCAGAGGTCCTGAAAATTGAGCATCTTTATAGCCTTCGAGAAGACATCAGTGGCTCATGACCACAGTGCCTGTGGAGGTACTAACTAAGAGAGCAATGAATCGCACTCCGCATCGTGTACCTATTCCCAATGGTACAGCATGGACTTGGTTGATTCTATCTTTCCATAGAGCTCGGATCAACAAAGCTTGACACTTAGCACTTCCCTTCTAGTCGTAAGCGGCTTCAGAAGGTTTAGCATATCCTATCTTTACTGCTCAAAGTTCACCTGACCTCTCCTGATCATTCAAAACGGTCATCTCCCTGAGGAGGTGTGCTCTAGGGGCGGGAGAAGAGAGTCCTAGCTCGAGATAACCTTGATCTCATCTCTCAAACATCTGTGGACTCCACCCGAGCCATGGATATCGGGGAATTCTCGGCGCCACCGATAACACTTTCACCTTCAAGGCCACGGTATTCTTGAATACCGAGGCTCATCTGATTGATTTCTTCTCGCTACAACTTTACAAAGTCGCTGCCTCGCAATGCCCGGAGGAACCGATGATTCAGTATACTGAGTGGTACGACGTGGTCGATCGGGAACTCATCATTGCGTGCCTGATGAAACTTGGTGTCAATGGCCCTCAAAAGTCACGCGCATATCTGCCGGATATACATCCTGAAGCCCTAGCTCCATTGCCCATAATCACCCTTGACCTTCCCCCAATCATCGCTCTATCTTACTGCAGCACATAAGCTAATTATGGGCAACGAACGAGAAACCTACGAGCCGCTACTTCAGAGCGATTTCAAGGATGAGTTGGAAGGAGAATCCCAGTTCCCAAAGGCTCGTTCCCGGGTTCCAAGATTCCTCATCCTCCTCTTGGCAACTCTGTTCATTACGAATGTGGTCTTTATTGTCCTTTGGCTGCGAGCGAAAGCCATGGATACAGAGGTCCAATTACTCTACTGTAGGTTGTTCAATTCAAGTCATTGGAAGTCAGACATTTGGGCTGAAAACGCCACTCAGCCCCAGTGAATCACCTCATCGAACACGAAGTCGTTACATTCAGGACCGGTGTAAACGATACCACTCGATACGTCGGTGAGCCCTCACCAGAGCTGGATCAACGCTGGGATGATTTGTATAGGTGTATGAAACCATTTCTCATGTCGCAGCACTGTTTTTGACTTTCACAAAGTTCCGCTATCAAAAATTCCAGAAGTAGTCGCGAAGCAGCTTCCGGTACCGACGACCAAGATACCTGGAGATTCTGAGCATCACGTTCTTGCGCTAGATGTATTTCACCAAATTCACTGTCTGGTACGTGTTGTGCATATGACAAGATTTCCCCCCCCCGGGCTCATGGGACATCTTCTCCCAAGAACATGATTCGAAAAAATCTACGGTCAGATTACTATACGCCAGTCGAGGATTGGCATGTTCAGCACTGTATCGAACATTTGAGACAGGCGATTTTGTGTTCTTCAGGTCAGAATTTTGCCTTTTGATATCGTACATTCTGGGCACTAACTACTGGTTGGTGGAGATTAGATGTCAGCGTAATCATCTATCATTGGAATGCCGAGCAAGAGTTCATCACCGGTCGATCTGCTACTCCGCACACATGTCGGAACTTTGATAAAATTTACGAGTGGGCGAAAGATCCGAAGAATAATCTACCAGTGGGGGAGTTTAATAGGAGTGCGAAGCCGCCCGGTGTATGAAGGGAGCAAGTCGAATGTCCTGTCTACGCATTATTGGATGCACACGGTGTTGGAGGGTTATATCCCTAAACGGCCTCCTATTATCATCGTGTTTATTAGATCAACCGTATGGAAATTCTTTTGTCCGATGGGTAGGGTCCCAAATACCGATGAGATAATGTCCCGAATCCAAAAGAGGTTTACTCTCACATCTAACTAAAAATGTTCTCACTAGCCAGCAAAGTTCCGCTACAGGGAATCGAACCCTGGGCTATCGCGATTCTCACTTGTTCCTAGCGGATGAGAGGCGATAATGTTGGCCACTATAACGGAATTACGACCACAGACGACTCTCTGGGGAGTAGCATGTCCCGATCAATCCAAGCATTTGTAGGTGAAAAGTGAGTCAATAGTTCTTTTTGGTATGACGCTAGCTCAATGATAACAGATGGGATGACCATTCCTTTTCTCTTAAGCAATCACTGCTTTGCTGGGTTGCTCATAACCACCTTCGTCCGGCTTTAAGCACATACATGGTCATTAGTATGATTATCGACAGGATCAAACATTTTCAAAGCTCGACGTCGCCTACAGACCGATCCATCAATGACAGCTTTTGAAACCCTATCCTCTGCCTTGACTATACCAAGCCTTTTATTCCTCAATCCGTATCAGCGCAAGTTTTGAATAGGACGGCTTTTTCGATGATGTTGAAGTTTGAGCGCGAAGGAGAGGCGGAACGATGAATTTGTGAGAAAGGTTGAGTGATTAAGATACTTAGATCGGGTTAGGAAAGGGTATATTCTTTGTGCTGCGGAGTTATTGGGGAATATGACGTGCAGCATGCGAGGGAGGATTATTCGTTATTCGTTATATGTTTGTTTTTCTTCTTTGAATCTGACTTGGATCTGACACTCTACAGCCTCCTCGCGAATCGTGTTTGGAGATTGTAGAAGACGTCTATGAGCATCCTCAATCATTAGAATAAGGTATACCAGCGGAATCGTGTCGAGGGGTTTGACATTCAACTGTTGAACGTTGAAAGCTATGACCCCAGCGACTCGGAGTCGGATCGGAATTGCTTCGGCCCGATGGGACACCCCAACGATCACGGTCGCGTCACCTTAAAGCTTAGGCTTTACCTTCTACCACCACCACCCTCGTACATATAACTGACAAGGTGAGTCAGCCTCATAACCTCTTGATAGAACTACGTATACAGATATACTGAGTCGCCATAGTATCTCACGCTCAGTTCAATCGAATCCGAAGACTCCAGCACTGTTACGCTTACGAGGCCTCGGCGGGTAAGACTACTTGGCTAAAACTTCATTCATTCACTCAATACGCTCAGAGGTAGGATTGAAAAAAATGGACGACAGTGGAGACAATTCGAAAATACCGATCGGCAAAGAATCTGTTCTATACCTTTCCCAAGCTATGTCGAAATTCCCCACTCCTGCATCCGCCATTGAGCAGCTTCGCACTATTGGTCACCCACCCAACTCCACTATCACCAACAGCCCGAATCTACGCATACGAAAAGCCTGTCAAGCTGTTGCGTCTCTCATTGCCCACAGCCAGACTGATCCATCGACGAGAATCACCCTCATCGTCCCCCAATGGAAACAGGTCATATCTCGTTGGGTAATCTTTTTCATCCGCCATATGCTTTTGGTCCCCGAGCCGTCCCCGGCACCACCGTCTTGGCTCTCCACTGTCAATTTGTTCGGAACTTGCTTCCCCATCCTGTTTGAACTCTCTCCCGACAGCTTGCGAACGATGAGAGAAGCCGCGCCCTCGCTTCAGTATCTTGTCGGTCAAGTATTCCTCCTAAAACTCGACAAAAACGATCATGGTTGGGTGACCTGGGCTAAAACTCTTCGAGATCTCGCCCTCTGCGATGAAGATGGCCCGCCTTTACCAAAATTCACCCCTGGTCTAGACCTCCCTCGCCTCTACCGAAAAGACGACAGCCTTGGTGCGATGCTCATCTCACACATCCGTTCCAGAATCTTCAAGAAACGTAGAATCGGTCGCGCACAGCTAGATGAAACGAGCATTGTGATTGAAATTCTCATTCAACCCTTACAATGCTTCGAGGGCGTCAATCCAGTCGGCGATGGGAAGAACCTCGTGGATTTTCTTACGTGTATAGTTCGGATTCTCAAAGTGTTTCTCATACCGAAGAGAAAACCGCTACCGTACCAGCCCAAGGAGCTACAAGTCACCCACAGTTTGATCTTGGAGGCTTTGATGGCTCTCGAGATTTATCTCTTCAGACCGGCATTGGTCAAACATGTTATCGAGCGTGGGCTTGTGAAGACGCTTTTCTTTGCAGAACGTCAATACTTCGATTTGGAGAAGGAACCGGAGTATCGTGCAATGGGGATGAGAGGTCTGGGTGAGGCAATTTCTAGGGTTTTTAATCGAATGGCACTGTTCTTCTATTATCTTCCTGTTCTTCGCTCATTTGCGCGGTATTCGCGGGGGCTTCCCAGTCCTGAGGAGGCGGACGGACTGTTTAGGTCGAGATCAGAGCCTACGTTGGGAAAGGGGTGGAGCCATCTTCTGACCAAGGGCTTCGTTATGAAAGCGATGCGGGACAAGTTTAAAAAGGTTCACGGGATATGTAGCTGCGAGGCAGTAAGTGCCTTGGGTTCAGTTTGTGTTTCGATTCTAACAATTTCATCTTTTCTTCGTTTTCAGTGCCCTCTCAAGAGTTATCGGAACAAAAGAGACGATTCAAGTCTCGTCTATGTTCGTTGTCTCGGGTGTTCGCTCAAGGTCTACTGCTCTCCAACCTGTCGAAAGGTAGACTGGGGTCATGGTCACCGTATTGAATGCTCCGGGTTTTTGGATCTGGCCAAAAGTGAGTTGGCGTCGATAAATATTCGTCTTGACTTCGGGCTAAATGTACTATGCAGACGGATTTGACATCCCTATCATGAGGATAGATTTGTCATTCGCCCGTCTCATCGTCCAAACCTTTCACGGGCTTCGCAATGACCACTATAACCACCTAACGGAGAGCTACCGAGCCTCGATTCCATCTGGGAGTCAAATTTCCCGCAGCGAGCAGGCCATTAGGGACGGGTTTCGCAACCCCATTCTCTTCTTGGACTTTACAAAACCATTCGACGAGATTATACCGGCGCAAACCATGAACAATGAAACATTTACGAGCTGGCGGCGGTCCATGTCAATAGTATGGGATGATGCTGACCAACAGCACCTCGAGGAAATCCTGAAGGCTTGGGACGACTCGGATGTGACTAGACAGCTGGTCTTTGCTTGGTTTGCGAGAGATAGAATTCAGTATGTTCCACTGCACGTTGTCATAGATTATCCGCTCAGGAGGTCGAATGCTATCTACCTTTGAATACACTTTCCTTCCTCCGGAATTATTGGGATGTGTTCCTCAGTAATTCCCGCGACTTCCACTCAGTCATTTTTACCGATGCCTGCTTGGGTCGTGCCTCCGGGACGCGTTAAGCACGTGATGTGAAATTGAGGTCGCTTTTTCGGCCGTTGCCGTTTCAGCTCGTTTCAACTCTCATCCTACAATAAAGTACATAATTGAGCACTTCGGAGGGCAAGAAGCGTGAGGAAAGCTCGGAGCGGGAAGAAGGATGAAAAAGGCCCGGTCAGTCATTTACTTGCCTCATTAGTTCCCCATGTTCGTCGTCAAGCTGTACCAGTATTCCCCTAACAACTATTCTCTTGATTGTAGAGGAGACACAGAAGGTGACTTTTAGCTCGTATGAACTACGCACGGTGAATCCGTCGGTTTACAGTATCCTCATAACTGTTCTCGGGATTATTCAGGATCACTGTTCATTAATACAGCCGTATTCAGATCTAAATATTGGTCTAAGTGCGAAAGGCTGCGACTCAGGTTGCTGCTGTGAGACTCGGGCCAGTCAGCATTTCCTGTGTGGAATGATCGATAGAAAAATACTTCATACCGTCTCAGATTTCACCAAATTGTAACAGTAACTTTTATGTCCAAAGGTATGCCCAAACTCTTTTACATCGATTCAACACGGGGCCGTGCAGTATCTAAGACGACTTCTTCTGATCCATCTGTTCCCATTGTGTGGACAAGATAAGGGAGATTCGTACACGCACTATCCTCACCTCCCATCATGTCTTCACTGGAGTTGTTTGCACGGACGATCAGGAGCGTAGGAGCAATGGCCTGCATCAAGAGCATATTCAGCCCTTACCGGAAGATGTCAAAAAATGAAGCCCTACCGCGACCTGAATTATAACCGACTCCAGAGTAGCTGTGATGAGGTGTTGGTAGACGTTTATTGCTATGAATACGATCCATATCATAAGATATAGTAGACATGATTCAAGCCTGGAACTATAAGTATTAGGAATAGACAGTAAGGCTGAAGTGAATACCCACATCAATCTTGCAATTGTTCTAAACCGCCTCGGATACCGAGCCGGCGGGACTTAGGCCACAGAATAGTTTTACCTGTGGACACTTGTTAGACCAGTGTCGCTAAGGAAATGGGACACGTACACCCCACCAGCGTAGCTTGATCCATTTAGGTTCAGGAGCCGGCCTTGAAGTAGAGAAACATTGAGTACTTGTAGAGAAGCAGGAAGATACCGAGTCACTCGAACGACAGACGCCAATCTCCATGGACTTGTGTTAGCATTGATAGCCCCGAACGAAGTTATACACTGATTTATCGAAAGCGGCGGTTTTATAGAGCCGATTGTCGGATGATCTTTATTTAGACGGTTGTTCAACGACCCCCACGACAGCGACAAACATTTTCTGCAGCCTGTTATGCTGTTGTTACCACTGCCAGACGCATAGCAGATTAGGGAATTTGAACTTTTCGTTGCGAAAAACGATCACCGATTCTTGGGAGTAGGCAAAGAGTTCCGTAGTGGCTGTCGAGATACAAATTCTAGTTACATAACCTGTTACTTCTGCGTTTCTAAGATAGGTGCACTGAGGGGCTGAGCGGGTAGAATCCTCTGGAAGTTACCAGCCAACCTCATTGTGAAGGTCCCGTTAGGCTCGTTTCCGGTACCCTAGAAGAACATGAGCGTCGTCGTGTAGCACAATGAAAATAGCTAGGGTGCAGTGATACTCACGAAGAGGCTCATGGGGAACCCAAGATCCAATGGGATCTGGCTCTCCAGAAATTTGATCTGCTCCGGAGTCAGATTGATATCGAGAGCCTCCATATTTTGCTCGAGTTGTTCCACTTTACGACCACCGATGATTGGGAAGACATAAGCAGTCTTCTGCATAACATACGCAATGGCAACTATATCAACGAGATTTGGTGAAGGATATCTAT